ATATATCCACACATGTATTTAAGTTTCCAGTCAATACAATTCTATCATGAATAATAAACATTTATCATGAACAAGGAAATATGATAATAACCAATTTATTATTGCCTCTAGGGCATATTTCCAACATCATATCGTGCATGCTGCCGCGCCTCGCGCTCCTCAGAGACGGCGACCCTGAGCTCAAGGGACCGCTGGCACCGTCACCTCCAAGGTAATGGGTGATGTAACCCCGTTCCTTCGTTATCGTGGGAGGCAACTCATCCTTGATGAGGCGACGGTTGGGGCGAGGCGGCGATGCATGCCCGTCAATGCGGGCTTACCGGCTGCCTGCCATTGGCGACATCGGCTCGTCCTTAACGCGGTGTCCGACCTGGACACTGCAGTTGCACGGGGGCGACGCCGGATCCCCCTTGACGCGGCGTCCAATCTGGACGCTACCGCGGTTCCGAGGGGGAGGCGTGTTCCTCCTTGGCCCGCCGTGGGTGGGGACTGTGGTTCCTGCTTGACGCGGTAGCGCAGCAGGGACTGCGGCTCCTCCTTGACCCATGCCGTCGGGCCCATCTGACGGAGCGAACGCTCCATCATGATCTCCAGCTGACCGATGAACTCTTCGTCCATCAGAGCTTCCTCCACGAGGAGGCGCGAACGCTACTCCAGCCGCTACTGCGGCTTCTTGTCCTCCTCGTTGCCGGAGCAGATCCTTGCCAGAGGAGTCGATCACTGTTGATGCCGAGGGTCCCGGAGAGCGAGAGCGGCGGCGCCAAGATCCGCTTGATGATGAACTGCCGCCGTCACCCCCTCCGCCTGCCGGCGCAGAGAACCAAGACTTCGACATCACCGCTGGAGTTGGAGGGGCTCAGATAGAAGGAGGAGGAGGAACTTGGTGTGGATGTGCATCGCCGGCACATGGCTAGGTGAATGGGTGGTCAACGTGCTTCAATGCCACGTAGTGAACAGAGTTAGTTTCTCGGGACGCGGCGTCCATATTGAATTGGTGACGCGTGAGAGGTCGTATCCGTGAGCGTTGCCTTCACGTCTAACCACGTCGCTCGGCATCAATATCGGCCGCTGCATACTCTGGGCCGACATGAATGCAGCGGGGCAGATATTGGATGGAAAGTGCGGAAGAGGCGGTTGGGTG